TGTTTTCTTCTGATTCTTAAGGTCAAGGAGGATCTAGCAAATCCCTCCTTGGTTCTTGTTGATTGTCTTCGTGTGGACCTCTACAGTTCGATCCTACACTTGGATCGGTAGCAAACACGTTCAGAGACAATATTGGTGGAGCCTCCAAACGTGGGTATGGTTTCTTAAACCTTGAATGATTTTTCTGCAGATTTGATTATTGATAAACTGTGATTTTTGTACCCGGATCTTGGTTCTAAGGAATGATCCATAGGTTGTTTTTGCTTTCTGCTGCGTAAATGGGCCGTTACTAACATAGATATATTCCTAAAATTTTGAAATTCGTTTTAAGTTTAATTTATTTGTTTATAAAGTTTTAGTATATCTCTTTCTACTTGTACTTTCACTAACATGGGTATATGTCGAACAAAATGCAGTTTTACCATATTAACAAAAAAAAGATTTTCAGATAAACAAATGGGAGAGTCGTAGCAAATAATCTTGCTATTTCTTCTCGTTTGCAACATGTGTATTGTATAGATTTATGATCGCTTAAGCGATCAAGTCTAAGGCAGAATCAAGATTATCTCAGATGCATGATCGCTTAAGCGATTTATGTATCGCTTAAGCTATTCTTCACGTTTAGCCTTGGTCGCTTAAGAGATTTAGGATTGCTTAAGCGATCAAGTCCAAAGCAGAATCAAGATCATCCTAGATGCATGATCGCTTAAGCGATTTACGGTCTCGCTTAAGTGATTCTTCATGTTTAGCCTTGGTTGCTTAAGCAATTAAGTCCAAGGCAGAATCAAGATCATCCCAGATGCACGATCGCTTAAGCAATTTATGGTCTTGCTTAAGCGATTCTTCACTTTTAGCCTTGATCACTTAAGCGATCGAGTCTAACGCAAAATCCAAATAATCCCAAGTGCACGATTCTTAAGTGATTTACAGTCTCACTTAAGCGATCTTGTATAGAAAACCCTTGATCACTTAAGCGATATATATAGTCGCTTAAACAATCATGGACAACACTTATTTTTTCCAGTTTTTCTCCTGAGTTTTGACAAACTAAAATCACCAACACATTAATCCCATTTAATAAGAATACCAAATAAACTCAAACTCAAAAGAGGTAAAAAAATACTGAATTGCTTTTGTATAAATCTGAAATGTGTCAATTACATTAAATTATAACATTATATACAACAAATAAATATCCTATATACACCCAAAATAAAAGCAGCGCCAGTAACCTCCATACTCCCTCTTCATCATTCTCTTCAGCCACTTCCCCATCCTCCACAATTATCCAACACGCCTTCAGCATCAACAACAGCAGTAGCCTCTTCGTCTTCTTCTACAACACCCCTTCCAATATTATGCAGCCTTGGCCTTGGCCAGAAAGCATACATAATACCCAAGTATCAATAGTCTGACATTTAACAACACCAACTTATCCAATTCAAGACAATCCAATTATTCAAGACAACTCAATAAGAAATGCATTTCACATAAACTACAAAACTCTAAGTCCAACTTCCATACTTGAACTTATCTGCAGATCTTACGACATGTTGCTTGCTTTCTTGCATTTGATCGATTCGAACTTAATTTTCTAGATCTGCATCTAATCAATTCTTGCAACTGTTTCTCTTGTGGCAAGGTTGCTTGCAAATTGAGCACTTATTCATCATTCGGGGAACCTCACAAGCTGATGGAATACGTTTAACTCTTTTTCTCCCATTTTTTGTCTTCTTGAATGGCAGATGGATGATAATGTCAACCAACTCTGGTGGCACCACCCACTCCTCTTTTGGAGGAACTGGATATATCATTTCCGAATAAGCCAACATGTAGTGGTTTGCCATCTAGAGTAGGGAGCAAAGTTCAATGTAAATTCTTGAACCAAAATCCGGCTTCTGTTGGTGTTTCAATACTGCTAGTGCATGAGGACAAGGTAAATGTTGAATGTCAAGCACTTTACAACTGCAAGTTTTACTAAGAAGGTTAATAGGGCATCCGAACCATAGCCACTCACGGTAAACTCTTAAGCATTGAGAGGATAGACAAACAATGCATTTGACAGTTCCATACGTTCTCACAATAATTTTTCAGCTGACGAAACAAGAGTTGTGGTAAAATTATCTGACTCCGTACGACGCTCATAAAACCACCGTGACAATGTCCTCTAGATTGCATCAAAAAGAGCAACAATTGAAAACTCTCTTTCTATTAACAGCTTTGAATTTATGGACTCGGTTATGTTCGTGGTCATGACATCAAACCTTCTTCCTGGAAAGTAAGCTCTACTCCATCGCTCGAAACTAACATCATGCTTAAGATACTTAGCAATTCTATCATCCTTGATTCAAATTTGTCGGAAGTGCTCCTCAAACTTATCAACTCGATAAGCTTTTGCTACCATGTGGTATGTCTGAAGGAGGCCAACGCACTTAAACTTTTGTTTTATGTTCTCACCAAGGTGCCTCATATAGAATCCGTGATATGCTTAAGGGTAAATAGTGGCAATCCCTTTCTTTATAAAGTTGTGCCTGTAAGATATTATGTACAACTCATCATTGTTAGGCACTATTATAAGTAATTCTGGAAAAAACCAAGTCCACGACTTGTCGTTCTCAGAGTCAACCACACATCATACAACAGGATATGTGTGATTCTCGTTGTCCTATGTAAGTGTGTAGTGGCTACCAATAATGTACCTCCATACTTTCTCGTCAAAAAGCAACCATCAACAGCCAACACCTTTCTTATGTTTACAAAACCCTTATAGTAGCACCATAAGCAACAAAAAAATATTTAAACCTCATATTCTTGTCCCACTTTAAAGTCATCTTGCTACCTTGGTTTGTTAACTCAAGTATATAACGATGTACTTCTAATACTGCGTATCGTGCTCTAGTGTGCCCCCTCACAAAATCTTGTGCATGTTGTCTCCCTTTCCAGCATTTCCAATAACTAACATCGCATCCCAACTCTGTGCGCACAAGTCTTTGAATGTCCTTAGGAGATAGACATTTCCTTTCAACAAACTTACTTTTGACAAATTATCCAATAACATCAGCGGAGGCTTGTCGATGTTCGCCTGAAATATGTTCCAACCCATATGTGTGCTCATGGGTATATGTGCTAACAATAAATTTTTCGGACTCTGCCAACCTTCTACAATAAACCCACCACTTGCACTTTCGATCACGACATGCAACTGTCACTATCGATGAATTAAACTTTTTAGTGATGAACTCAAAATTACCTCTCACGACAACAAGTTTTAGCTTCCTCACCACTTCCTCCTTGCTGTCAAATAAATAACCTACGCGTAAGTCCGATCCATCAGTAAAAATATGAGTTGATTCACTACTACCCACAATTGCCACCTCTGAACCTGTATAAACGACCATAGTGTTTTCTTTCTCACAAACTATACATTCTGCATAATCTGTATTTGTAGGAATCTCTACATCTACGGAAACATGTACAGGGTCCTCTTCGTCCACATTTTCATTCTGCCCCACATGAACAACCTCTTCTACAATGTCCTCCTCACCACCCAAATCACTGCCTACTTTTGATTTTTCAACAAAGAAATCAATGCCCTCGTAGTTAAAATTAAAACCAGCATTCCCCCCACGCAAATCACTGCTTACTCTTGAACCAACTTCCAAAGCTTTATCCACAACTGAAACCGTTAAAATCGGCCTCAAATCATTATCGCCCACATCAAGCATAAATAACTTCACATCTTCATTAGACATTAATACAACGAGGGTACTTAAAATTTGTAGAAGCTCTGCTTAAAACATACTTCACAACTATATCATTACATGAGCAACTCAACCCACCTCTTCTGAAATCAATCAACTCATCAAAACTAACTTTTGTACTCACAACAATTACTTTAACTTGTTTGCTCTTCCCAATCCACTTCCAACAACTTTCTTCCTCCACCCACTTACCAAAATATTCAACACCCAAAACCACTTGTCTCATGTCTAATAATAACCAAGTACCTATAATGCAAGAAAACAAAAATTATTAACCGATATATTAAGGGTTGACAGATTTTAAAAAGCATATCAAAGTAACTTAAGTGATGTGGTTTATCGCTTAAACGATCTAATATATCACCTACTGGATCGCTTAAGTGATCTGATATAAATAAACCTGATCGCTTAAATGATCTTATGCCATATACCTAATCACTTAAGCGATCTACTACCATATACCAGACTTATAGCATATCGCTTAAGCGAGCAGATGGTAGATCGCATAAGCGATCAGATTTATAGCAGAAGATCGCTTAAGCGATCCATCAGATCTAGAACACATTTTCATTTATCTCTACCTACAATCAGTGCTACCACCCCCAACTACCCATAATACAAGAAAATATTCAACAAATTTCACTCATTTGAACTTGCATTACATCAAACACAACCTAACAACCTAAACAACTAAATCAAAATCAAGGAGGAAGAAGATGTAGAGGAAGGAGAAAGAAGAAGATGTAGAGGAAGAAGAAGACGGAGAGGAAGAAGATGTAGACGAAGCTTAGAAGAAATAACAACCAAAGGGAGGTGCGTTAATGACAAGAGGAAGAAGAAGAAGGTGTTTGGGTTTGTTTGCAAGAATTTCGATTTTTTTAGGACATATTATAATTTTTAAAAGATTATACAATACTTTATTGACCCTATTTAACCACTAATCATATTTAATTAACCTTAATTAATAATAAGACTATTAACTTTTAACACTTTCAAACTATACGACGATTTTAATTAAACTTGAACTTGCCATTTGTAAAACAAGTCAAAAGTTTAAATTTGGCGCAGACATTATTGCAGTTATAAACCGGGTAATGCCGGTTCATCATTTTGAACCGGGAAAAAACCCACTACGAATAAGAGTTTCTGTTAACCAGTACAAGATATAGCTCTGTCCAGGACCCGTGCGAAAATATCCCACTATCCAAACGCAAGCAGCAGACCAGCAGTTTAGTTTCGTCACAACGATATCTAATTTTTACTTTTCTTAATTTTTGCTTTGTCCTCTCTTGACATCTACAATGGATCGAGTACATGTCCTTCTTTTTGGGCTACCACTCTTTCTCCTATGCAGCGACCTTTTAAACCTCTTTACTCCACCGCCACCACCTCCTCCGTCGCATCCGAAACCCAGCCACCACCACCATCACCACCATCACCAACCCCAACTTAATCCGGAAACCTCAGAATTCTCTACACCGGTAATCTCATGAATCTTTCAATCACCTCTATCAAAAGATTAAGTTTTTATATCTGGGTTTTTGTTAATTGTATTATTACTGGTATAATTTTTTTTTGTCTTACTGCAGAAACCTGTGGGAGGACTCGGGTATGGCAGTACAGTAAACATAAACTTTTGCGCTTCTTGCTCATATAGGTATTTATCTGTTTTTTATTGGATTTATAATTTGTTTGGTTTTAATGGTGTTTGATTGACGTTTGATGCTGGGATCATAGACATGTGTAGCATAGAATTTAAATTCTGTTGATTATGTTTAGTGCGTATTCTTTTTAAGTTAATTGTGATTGAAACTATGTTGTACGCATGTTAATCTGGAGGTTATTTGGAAAATTAAACGGAGGAAGAGTGCTTAGTTTACTTGAACTTTTGGGGTATTGCTATTCTTTACCAATATCTAGATATATTTGCTTGTAAAGGATCGGAGCTCAGTGAATACGCCAAGCAAAAGCCGCTTGTGAAAATAGGGATATGGCTACTGATTGCTTTAGGCATTAAGAGTCAGATACTCGATCTCATTGTTTTTGGAGATTTTACAATGGCACTATGATTGGTAGATTACCTGGCTTGCCTTTTTTTATAGATTTACTTATTGGGAAAGTAAATTAGTTACTTGGTTAAAAGCTCTGAAGGAAAGTTTTAATCTCATCTTCGTGTTGCTTTCCACAGGGGTAATGCAGTAACCATGAAGAAGATGTTGGAGACTCAATTTCCTGGAATTGATGTTGTCCTTGAAAATTATCCCCCACCTATGCCCAAGCGTCTGCTTGCTAAAGTGGTCCCAGCTGTTCAATTTGGAGTCATTGGGATTATCATGGCTGGTGAACAGATTTTTCCAATGATGGGAATTATGACACCTCCTCCGTGGTATTATTCTTTGCGCGCCAATAGATTTGGATCTATTGCATCCACCTGGCTTCTTGGAAACTTTTTGCAGTCCTTCCTACAAAGCTCTGGGGCTTTTGAAGTATACTACAATGATGAATTGGTAAGTCACCTTTTTGTTTGTCTCCTATAACCCAAAAAAAAATCACCTCTTTGTTTGTCAAATTGTGTCTGAAATACATGTTTGCTTAATTAAAATGATTTTGGTCACTTGATTAATTGCTATGTTTGAAACTAATTGAAGTCTCGACAAGTTCATGCTGGTGATGTAGTAAGGTAATGCATCTGATCTAGTAAATAGATATGCCAATAAACTATTTACTGAAAAAATATATTTTCTGGGGACTCATGCCACTAGACATTTGCCACCATTAAAACAGGTATATAGGTCGGATAGGCTGTACTATTTGTTGGGTTTTTAATGCTTGACATATAAGATCACCAAATAGCTTACATTCTTCCATTTTTCAATGCTCGAATATCCTTTAAAGTTGCAGTTAGTTTTTAATACCACTGTTTCTACTGACTGTTTGAGAATGCTGTTTTGATATTGTCCGTGATGGCAAATCATATTTCATTTGTGTGGCTTGACACGAATTTGATCTCATGTTGTTTCATTTCCTGAATTTGTTATTCTATAACCATTGTTTAAGAAAATTTAGTTTTTGCATGTTGGAAGAAATAAACCTGTAGCTTAATAATTTTTTCATTCCTTTTACATTTGTTCCCTCTCTACATTGTAGGTCTTCTCTAAACTGAAGGAGGGCAGGTTTCCAGGCGAGATCGAGCTAAAAGAACTTGTTTTCAAAAAATTGTCAACATCAAGACTTGAGGATGGCCTTTGAGGAGTATGGTCTTGGTTCATTGTCTGATAATGGAGGGTTAAAACCAAGGGATTGAAGTGCAATAGGTCCATGTAAGATGTCACGATTTAGAGTAGCACCAAACATAAGCAGATATTATGCCATTTTGTTAATGTAAATTTGAACCTGCATTAAGGTCATTCCAAGACAGTTGATCTCAAAGTGAAACATCAGATATGGAGCATGTTGATTAACTATATTTTTCCAGAGTGAGTTAGGTTTTCATAATTACATTTATCTATCCTATATTCATGTTAGATCTCTTGAATGCCATCTCACATTTTGTAACATAATTATATCATGAGAAACAATAATTCTAGGTCAACAACCTTCTCTCACAACCTCCGTCGTAAATGGATAGGCGGGATCCATACAAGCAGACGAGACCTATTTTGCGAGTTGACTAATGACAAGTTATCACGTTTGGGGTTGTGAGATTGTATTGTGAACGTAACATTATTCCATGAGAAAACAACTGAAATGGCAAGCCTGAAATTGTCAATTAGATGTAGTAATGGCAAAGCCTGAAACTGTCAATTTGATGCAGTACGAACCATGGACAGGGCATCATGCCATTTTGTGATGGTAAATTGGAACCTGAATGAAGCAGAAAAGTCTTCAGTAGAAGATGCATACCCATCAATGTAGGCCAGGTTAGCATGCGATAGGCATGTAACAGAATCATCAGAAATTAACCGACGTTTTCTTGAACAACTTTAACAAATGAGGTATTAATTTGCTTGGGGTTTGACCCTGCGAATGATCTTGAAAACCCCTCTAAATTGAGAAACCAAACACTGGCAAGTTTGAAAATGCGCAAAGATAACTTCTTATACCATCTTCCAATGTAACGAGTCTCCCAAAGCCAATTGGGAAGGTTGCCGACATAAAGTAGGGGTGTTCGGTTTCGGGTATCTGCACTTTTGAGGGAACCAGAATCAGAACCGGAACCGACGGTTCCTTGAAATTTGGAACCAGAACCGAACCACGGTTCCGGTTCCTAATACTCAGAACCAGAACCTGTAATAACGGTTTGGGTTCCGATTCTGGGTACCCTATAAAATTACATGACCCCCCAAAGTTTTTAAAATGGTAAAAAAACCCTTAAAACTACAATACCCCCCCACCTGGCACTTGTTAACAAAAATAAAATTACAAATTATAAATTCAAAATTACAAACTCCATTACTTTTTAAAGGTAGATTCTCAAAAGGCAAACCAACTTACTTTAAATGTTGTGAAATATAAATATAAATGTATTCACACAACTTTTTCTACAAAAGTTTTTATTAACCCCCCTAATCTTTAATTTTATTTTATATTTGTCTCGGTTCCTGGCTCCGGTTCCAAAAATTTGGACCCAGAACCTACCCATTGACGACTGATTCTGGATAGGAACCGGAACCAAACCCAGGGTATCCGCCAATTCCGGTTCCAACCGATTCTTTTGAACACCCCTATCATAAACGTTGTTCTGGACTTACCATCAAAGTGCCATAAAAGTTAGAAACTGGCGGTTGATTCAGAAAGAAACTAAAGAACAAAAGTTTGATGAGTGAGTGAACATTTACCATAGCAGTTTCTACTCTACAACTCGAAAGGGAAAGTGTTCTTAAGAAAATTATTTATAGAACACATCTCAATGCTCAACTTGCTAGCTTCCATTCAAACATTCATACACCCAAGCTTCTGTATGCTTGATTTTAACAATTGGGAGTTCCAAGGTTTCTACTATTTCAATGATCTTCTACTTGGAGGGAACTGTTAGTATTTTAACATTAATTTAACGTTCAGCAGTTTACAAAGTTTTTGTCAAAGTTGTAAACAGAAGCTTACAAAGTATTAATTCAATGTATAACAATTAACATTGATAGTCGGTGTTCTGAAACTTATAATTAACAATGGCCAAATGAAGTAACAAATCTGCACATAGTATGTCGGAACTGGGAAGAATTAAATAAACTGCATTGTCTGATCAGGTTACCCTTTATTTCTTCCTTCTTGAATCAAGGGATCAGACCAGAATAAAAGGGATGTGGAGGTCTTGAAGCCAAATACCAAAATCCATTCCTTCATCACATACTTACAGGAATGCCCCAAACCTGCAATTGAGGACAAAAAGATCCTTTGAGGGGGTGCAACTGACACTTCTAAAACATAACAACCTAGCACGTCCTATAATCCTATCGTTCAAACCTCAGGTAGTACATTAACAACAAGAAGAATGTATAGAATTTACCTAATAAAAAAAGTACAAGAAAAGTAAAAAGCTATGCATACCACTCTTCAAATCTATATTCTGCTTATATCACGACCAAACACAATAGTTGTAGCCCAGTTGACTGCTACATAGAATCTGTTCCTCCAGCTAACGACACGGGTTAGGTATGCCGAGCGCCAGATTATCCAACTGAAAAATCCTGCCATGGATATACCTTTTGATTCCTGTAAAAGATGCTCCAAAGTTAATACTTGTTTTAGCTTGAAGCTAAAGAGAAAAGGCTTGCAAGTATAAAGAGAGTCACCTTGCTTTGTCTTAGGTCCACAAGAGCCTTGTGTCGGCCAAGTGTTGCCATGCTTCCCAGATGCTTGTACACAAATGGGTCTCCAAAATCCATGTCCTTTGCACTGTTTGCATGTCCACCACCGGCTTTACCAATTTTGTTCAATAGACTAGCAAGATATTTACCTTGCCGCTCTGCAACCTTTTCAAAAAACTCATTTCAGGGAAATTCTACGACCCAGAAACAAATTGTTAGCCTAAGATAAACATATAACAGCATCATTTAACAACATCCACAAAGAAACATATCAGCAAATAAAAAGGAAAAAAATAGCACATTTTCAATTATGACACTGACTACAAGAGTAACTTCTTCCAATAATTTAGCTAGTATAATGGCATCTAAAGATCATATTACTATGTATGCCAATGCTTAATTGAGAGTCCAGCTTTACATAATCAAAAGCATCAAAGGAGTAAATTCTATTGTCTCTTGTATATAACTGAAAGGAAATAGACAATAGAAATATCTCTTTTCATCTCAGACTATATCATGAATAAACAGGTACAGTGGCATCAAAAGCAGATTTCACCAGAACCAAAAGGCCCCAGCTTGAAATTGTGACTAAAACTGAAAAGGTTGAAGCTGTTCATAGATCACCTGGGCCAAAGCTGGAAGGACAGATTTACCAGTACTATCAAGATACCCACTGCAGTCACCAATTGCAAACACATCTTGGACAGAAGGAATTTGCATCCACTCATTAACACCAACCCTTTGAACATATAGAAACAAATGTATAAGAAATTACCGCCAAGTAAATATACTTTACTCAAGGAGCAGAAATCATTTCAAATTTTGGTTAATTGCCTACAAGATAAGAAATCACAAAGCAGAAAAGCATAACACAGCATTCAAAATAATCCATATCAGAATGTGATGTGAAAACTTTTTAATCGTATTGAAGGTAGCCGGCGAAGCATGTGCAAACTTGAAAAAGAAGTACTAGTTCTAAATGCTATGAAAATTTTGAGAACTCATCAATTAAATGAATTATGATAGTTCATACTGATTATATAGGAATCCATTCTTTCCAAGATATTCAAACACAACTACAAAGTTTTCTGACAGAATTCTGAGACTGGTTTTCCAGAGAGTATATACTCCTTCCAAGAAAAATTCTCTTCAGTGTCCTATTGTCAAAATTTCCACATCACCTAAAAACTTTGGTATAAAATCCTTCATAACAAGGCAAGGACAATATGTACTTACCTGCCACCAGGTGATTTTTGAAGGTCTAGAGACTTTACAAGAGGTGAGGGGCCAACACCTGTTGACCATACTAACAACCCGTATGGGACCTCTGTGCCATCATTAAGAATTAGTTTCTGAGATTGAACATCCTTGACAACCCCACGCACAAGATGAACTCCTGACTGAGAAAAACTACTAAATGAGCAAATAAAGAGACCTGGAAGTCAAATAAAAATTAACAAGAAATTGTTTAACAATTCTGTGAAAGAATGTTTCCTTTGAAGACTTTGAAAGGAGATTAACTAGTGCAAATTTGACAACAATGATGATATCAATTATGTGACTACAATATGTTAGCATCAACAGAAATTTCTCACCTTTTGCAACTGCTTAGTTGCATAGCGACGAAGTCGATCATCAAATGAAGATAATATCTCATTTGCCTGTGAAGATTTAACAACTGCAGTCAATTTAAAATAATTTGATATATTTTTGGGAACTCTAATACGGGGCTTCAGCTGAAAAAAAATCCTAAATATGCTCTCAAAGTAATTATAAGACATTTCCAGCCAAAATCCTTGTTAACTAGCATTTAACTTAAAAAATAATGGAGGATGACATTTATTACTTTACATGTAACGAAGAAACAAAATTATATTTTATAACTTGAACTAGTATTCCCCAAACCTCGATTAAAGTAACATGAATATAATCTTTCACGTGGGCGTATGTTTGATGAACATCTCTGATTATGAAATCACTAAGTTCACCACTGAACTCGACTCCTGTGGGTCCACCTCCTACAACGACACAATGTAGGAGTCTGCACTTCTCTTCTTCAGTTATCCCTGCCTCCACACCAAACCAGAAAGTACAATTTAACAGAAATTCATATCATATGATTTTACCGCCAAAAATAGAAGATAAGGGAAAAATAAAGGGTTGGTCAAAGTATCTTACCAGGCATATCGGACAGCATCAAGTTAAGGAGTAGCTTCCTTCGAATCTCCTGAGCATGATGAACTTCACGAAGAAAAATTGCATTCTCTTTCACACCATGAATTCCAAAGGTGGAGGCTTCTGCTCCCAATGCAATTACCAACTTGTCATATGAAATTTTAAAATTCCAAGGATGCAATGTGTCTAATCCATCAGTGACAGTTTCACAATTCACCTTCATTACCCAAAACAAAAGTTTTCACAATTCACCTTCATTACCCAAAACAAAAGTTTTCACAATTTTGCCTTCACACAAGTTCAAATTTCCAAACTTACAAATTTGCAACAAAAGCTATATTACTTATGGCTAACACATGATCGCCAATTCCTGAAATGCTCAAATCAAACAATCAAACTTTAAAAATGACATCACGCATTTTCATTTGAAGTCACCAATATAAGCGTACCTCAATCCATTCTTCTATACTATTATCATCAACATATTCATTGACAGATACTTAAATTTCCCAAAAAAAAAAAAAAACCATGAAGATCATTGGAAACCCACTAGTTAATTCATACACAGTAACTTAGTTAACTCTAAATATCCTGCATCCAATTTGTGTATATGTAAAAATCAAATGCCACCATTACACATTTTCGACTCCAAGTCATTAATATAAGTACTTCAATCCATTCTTCTATTATTATCATCATCAACATACGAAGAAGACCATCACAGAACCACAAGTCAATTCGGAGTCATTAACCAAACTGGTACAAATCCAATGTAAATAATGAACTCATAAAGCTCTGACAAAGAAGTAATTCAAAACCTGAATAACAACAAACTTACCAAATGTTTATCAGCATCAATCCCAGTACAATTAGCAAGAAAAAAGTAAGAGCCCGGTTCCCTCGAAATAGCTGGCTGAATCCGGCCAATGGGTTCAGCCACTGACCTGAATTCCAGAGTCCCAACACACGTGGACGCCAAAAGCGGAGTAAAAACCATGTGATTCCTCGGAGACACGCAGACAACATCGTAAATACTCGTGTCCAAATCCTTCATTAACCGGCACCCCGCCCATCCCGACCCCAGCACCACCACTCTCGGCTTCTCCCCGGCCTTCGTGGGCCCCAGCCCGGATCCCTGCACAACTTGTGGTGACAGTGATGATGCGGATGAAACGTCCGTAGTGTAACGTGACAGACACGTGAGTATTGAGTAGGTCGACGTGGAAAACGTGGGTTTGACTTTGTGAAGTGAAGAAGAAGAAGATGATGATAATGATGATGATTTCAGTAAGGGGTTTAGAATTAGATTCTTGAACCAAACCATAGCTGAGTTTTCACTTTGAGAGGTGCTTCTCCGGTAATCTGGGACAGAGTTCCAGAGATTTGGGGTTCAGAGAGAGCAGATGTAAACGAGGATTGAATTAGTTACGTGTCAGTCGCTGCATGTGCCACAGTTTATTTTCAGCACGTGGTTTGCCACGTCAATATCGGCCAACTAGGACTGTGATCCATTGGGCCTAGGCCCAAGCTTTTTTGATGTGGACTTCAAACTGAATTTGGCCCTTGTTAAATGGATATTGTCATTAAGAATATCTATATTGATGTCCAGGACTTCGGGCCAGCTTACGCACATGTCGGCTCTCGGATAATCAGATGGATAATCGAACCTGAGGTTATGTGTCTATTCACACTATCTTTAATTGGAATACCATGATGAACATTTTCTAAAGTAAATATATGCTCGTAAATTAATACCACATGAGTTGATCGAAATTTTAGTTTCGATTCATAAGAAATTTAAAAGCAAAATAAATAAATAAAGTTAGAGATTTATTTTATTTATTTGTTATACATATGTAGGAAAGATATATGTATAAAGCTCCCGCACTAAGCAAAACGAGAGCATATACATACATGCATATTATTTTTGCACAGATATATGTTAATATATAAAGGTAAACATGACAAAGCTTGCATGGATCTCAGCCTTTCCGGCCACCGCCGCCGCCTCCTCCTTTGCTCCTCGGATCATGGCCACGGTTGGCTGATGGTTCGCCGTAATCATTAACACTCACGGCCATCAAAGACCTTCCACCACCCACCATTTCATCAATATTATTATTCCCTGTGTCAAGTAACCACCCAATGTTAATTGTAAGACAGATGCCTCGCAATTGTAACATTTTCAGTAAATAAAAATTGGAGTTTCTAAGAAACTAGTCAAATATTATTAACCCTAGACGAACCAAAGTTGTCGCTTACGATAACACAAGAAGAGTTGGTAGTAAGAACCAGACATCTATGCGACCAGATAGAAGGAATCCAGCTGACTTATTTATCGCACAAAGCACAATACAATTTAACCCACCAACCATTGATTTAAACACAAAAATAACTGTGCTTAGGTATTCTACTATACTAACTTATTCATTTCAAGTTCAGAACTCCTAAAGAAAGTGCAGTTCTTGTAAAGAGAACATCAATGATCACCCTAATTACTTTGGCTAGGGGACTGAAGAGAAATATATTCTTGACGTCTCTGCGTAAAAGAACACTAGATAAGTAGCCAGCTCAAAGCTTATCCACATCACATCAACAATAGCTATTTGGTTTGACAAGGGTTTTCTGATACCACGAGAAATAGTTAAGGGTATTACTATATAAACATGCCACAGAAGGAAGACAAAAACAAACCTGAAGGTGAAATGATGTTACGTGCAGAAGATAACACGGCAAAGGCAAGCAAAAGGCACAAGCATAGCCTTACTTTCAGCCCCATATATCTCTTTCTTAATATTTTCTCTCTGTTTTGAACTTATGCAATGGAGAGGTCGATAGAAGAGCAACCAGACCACTACCCTCTATTTATAGAGAATGTTGAGAGTTGACGTTAATTTATTTATTTTGCATATCGTGGATGCACGTTCGACACATGAAGAGTGATCTCTTGAATGTGAATGCCATCTCAGCCGTTCAATGTTCATTTATTCAACTCAACTCAACTCAACTCTACTGGGATTGGATTGTTGTCGCTTCCTTTCTCTGAAAAGGAACCAGGCTTACTTTCGACCTCAAAAGTCATAATAAATAAGAGAAATCACGTCGCCCCAGTTTGAAGATTCTGATCATTGATAAGTACGTGCATGATAAAAACTAATAAATTAATGAAATTTACACAATAAAATGTCAAATTATCAATAATTAACCTTAGTATCCGAATGGTTTGATAAGAGACTCTTAGGTGTATTATTTAAAAAGTATAGAATTTGAACCATTTTCGGGTGTTAATAAGAGTAACCACTTAAAGTTTATCCGATCATTAACTTCAAGGCCCAAGAAATTAGTTGAGGTGTGCATAAACTGATCCGAACACTCTCATTTACTAATATATATAAGACAATCATTAAATTATTATACTGTTTTTCACTTTCTGTGCACTCTTTTGTTTCCACTTCCAAAAGCAATAATTCTGATTATAGTAATCACAACTTGGCAATTTCGATGCTTGCCCAGCACTAAACACAGTGTTTATCTCAGCTCTGGCTAATAGAATTATGCACAAAACTGGATAGCCAACCAGCTTAATTGTTATTTCTGATATATAAAATCACATTTATTTTGACTTTCTGATACATCATCTCACGAGTGTAGTTTCCTTTTTAGGTAATTTAGGTTCATCGTACCTACCATTATTCAAGCATTTGGTATTTTAGAGAGTTATAATCAAATTCTGGTGTTAGCTCCACGATGAGCAGTGCAGTGCAGTAATGTCAAAACTTTAGCTGGCGAAAATGAAATCTGAGATCACATATCATAAACCCCACTTTTTGGCCACCAATCAATCAATTTGGTCAAACCATTTGTTCAGAGAAAGGAGCAGAGGTCACATAATTGAATTAATAAAGTTTTTTTCATTTCACAAAATGAAAGTCAATGGTATTCAATCAGGTTACCATAGATACACATGATCCAACATTTGCACATACATAAACAAATACTAAAATTTAAAAAAAAAAAAAAAAAAAAAAAAAAAAAAGCACCTTTGGGTGCCTGAATAGAGAGATAAAAATTCTTAAACATATTACTCGAAAGATCTTAAGTCATCGATTGCTAATAGGAATAGTTATTATCTATTAGAGAGTTTATCTAATGGTTAACTTTAAAGTTCTAGAGACTCGATTGCTAATAAGGGTGCTTCAATGTTTTAAAAAATTAGTCGAAGTGTGGTAAACTAATTCGAACACCTCTGTAACAAAAAAAAAAAAAAAAACAATTGGGAGCCCGCTTTATTTTTTGTCTCATGTAATTAATTTGACTATAATTTGAAGAACAAATGTGTCGGTGGGAAGCCAAGCAGATCTAAGTGATAAAACATTGGGCAAGATTATTTTATGAATATGCCGTCAGCAAGCTTTTATCATTCCACCACACAGAAAGACTTTCTATGAAAAAAATCAAACAGTTATGATTGTGCTTTGCTTAGTGTGACAACTTTTCCATATTTGCACCATTGGGACTAGTACATACCATAACAGGAATATATATATATTCCTGTATCAATGTCAAATATAATGGAAACTCCTCTTTCTGTTCTACTTCTACCCACTAACAAAAATTAACATTGCCTCATTCATGTAAGGCTTAGACTAGAGGCACTACGAGTGGTGCATTTGCAGCCACTAGAGAGAACAAACAAGGTCTCCGGTGACATTTAGACAATCTCAGTACCATCAATTTGCAAAGTGCAAACCCATGTATTCATGCAAAAGGCTTTTCAATGTCCTCCAAACAATGAAAAGCTAAGAATGAGACTTCCAAAATCTTGAACAGAATAAACACAATGCTCAGGGTAATCTCCAGGAAGGAACATATCAGCGAAACTGAAAATTATCATCACGTAATCTTCAAATATGGCTTCCAAAAATTCTCAGTCACAAAGCATGAACAAATAGTTTAAGCAAATACTATCAAGAAGATGATAATCATCTCATGTGCTACTGAGATCTTTTGCATACTAAACTGAAGACACAAAAAAATTTTAAACATATTAAATTTATGTTTAAGAACTACTGAGATGGTTCAAATACAGTCCAAACCCATTAGAATAGAAGTAAGTGTTTCCATAATCAATAGAGTTCTAAGATTTGTCACTCCTATAATAGCAAACTTGGGACTTGGGAGTTAAAACAATTGTCTGCAATACAAAATTACAAACTCGCACCTAAAACATAGTTCCAAACTGGGACATTTAGAAATCTGTTATCACCGATTATTGTACATTAGGGCAGATAAACAGCACTTGCAGCAGAAACCATTACATACAATCATCATCGTTTCTTAAAACCATATTTCTTACGCTCGTAAAACAGATCTGTTTTGGCACTCCCCAAATTGACAATTTTAGGACAGCCATCTCTGTCTTTCTCTTGCTGCGTGCACTCTTTGCAGTAGTAGGCATCAGAGATTCCCACTCCTCCACAGATAACACATCGACCCTGAAAGGAACCATAGTTGCATTCATCACAAACTCGCACAAGTGTGCAAGGACGCACATATGAGTCACAAATCACACACTTCCCATCACACTTCTCGCAAAGCCTTCCAATAGCAATACCTGGCTGCTTCCTACACATAATCAAATCAGGATGATGCTTGGCCATGCTTTCTACAAAACACAACTAGCTCCTATACGTCCTTGTGACCTGCAGATATGTGTCCCCAACCAACAGTGTTAGCAAGACAAAATTTTTATCAGCAATGCAGTTGTATTTTAGCCAACAACCAAGGTGAAAATACAAACAGAATAACATATAAACACTGCAGAAATCAAATCATAAATCAGCATCATGGTTATGAAACTATCATCCAATGGTAAAACTTTAACCAAACAATAAACTCAACTGCATCAATCATTTGTGAATTATCATTATGAAATGAAGTAGTAGACCATACAATGGTGAAGGGATAGTCCATGCAGACTTGAAAATCCATACAACAAAGAAAACTTATTCTTTGCGTCTCTATGGATGGGACCAATGCAATTAGAAACAAGATCAAATTTTACATGCTATTAAGTGAAGCAGCAACACTAATTCCTAGAATCATCTATTTGATATACAATCAAGTGAAACTATATCTCTATCCTTTATAAAACCAGGTAAACTTTATTCACCTCCTCTATAGGCAGACTCTCTGGTTCCAAAAATAGCAATGGAGATCTCAGATGACTTTCTGGGGAAGCCTATGATAGTCTTCAAAATCACTTGAAATGCTTCTGATGAGTTTCAAAGCAATGGGGTATCTTTGAGTTTCAGTCAAATCTCAAAGGAGGTCAATGAATGAGAACAACCCAGCAGAAAAGACACATTATTAAGGTTAAAGAGAGGAGACAAGAACAACTCAACGCCTAGAAAAACAGAACTAGGGATTAAAATACCCGGTAGTCTCAACATAAGAAGACACGCCCAAAAATACTTTAACATCCTTATACTCTTCAACTTACCTAAGCTAAAATCTTGCAAGCATTTCATCCATTCAAGAACACTAGAGAAATAAAGAACTGCAAACACGCGTCCATAAAATTCAGTTCTTGGCAGTAACACATGAACATATGGCATACTTATTTTCCATTTAATAATTCAATTTTATCATAGTTAGTGCAACTTGAAGCTCAATCAAATCAAATAAAATTTGAGACATGATGAAATTATATGATCAGCTAAAAAAAAAAAAAAAACATTATTTCAAATAAATTAACTTAAAATTAGCAACAACTTCATTCGACTTCAGTTCTCACAAATAGATACATTAACTTAACCAGCTGAATTTCAATTTCGCTACTGTAAATTCAAGGAAACAACTTCTTTTTTCTGTATTTTTTTCATTTTCCTGAGCTTTCTCGGGAACCAAAAAACAAAATATAATTTCCCTTTCAATGCGACTCCAATCAAGATTTAAATAAGGCGTTGGGCTTGTAGAGAACTAACCTGCGCTGAGAATAGCTATTTCGGCTCTAAGGGATGCTGACGTGCGGCGCGGCAAGAGAAATAACTTCAGAGCTCGGAGGTTTGAATCAGATTTTCAGTGAGAGGGTTTTGTACAAGCCTTGTTAAGCGGCAACAAGGAGCTGGCAGAACAATCGAGCGATTGAACTGGGCTTTCAAGTGTTGGGCCAATTAAGCCCATTTATCAATTCCGGTTTTTTCTAGTGACCTTGGCCCGCTTTTAAATTAATATATATTTTTCATACAATAATAGAATTTATTTATTTTTTATGAACTTTTGAACGTACGATATTTAATAGGAATCAACAAGGTTTTCAAGATATAATATATTTTTTCTTTTTCTTTCTCTTTACAGATGTTTTCAACTAACATATTTAATATTCTTCAAAAAGTTGTCCGAACTGGCTTAGCTGTATTTTGATTAATCCTTAGACAAAGTTATCCTACAGCAACCCACCGCTGCGGTCTCTTAAGTAAATCATGGATAAAAATACTATATTTGTGTGAATAAGGAATTAAACCTACGACTGTGGGTTAGACCCGAATATATTCATGCAACTTTGCTATAATCAAGAAAGTTAATTATTATTTCACCAAATTTAAAACGATTAAAATTCATAAATGAACAATACAATTTAAGAAACAAAAAAAATGCATACTAAAAGTAATAGGTTTTCTGATTTTCATATCTAATTGATTTATTTATAACTGTATAATACCTTATAAGAAAAACATTATAATTAAGATAATATAATCTTAAATTTTTTAATGTCTTGCAGCTTACTCGTACCTTGAATATCTCTTAAAGAAAGCTATCGTACGATAAGAAACCCACCGCCGCAACCTGTAAGTAATGGAGTACCTTGGTCTGAAGACTATGGGTTGAAACCATATACAATCCCTTGGTTTCCTTTACCGCTGCACTACACACGACTGGGTTAAGTCTTTATTTTTATATCAGATTTATATAAAAGTTAAAACTATATATTATTTAAAAAGAAAGATTCAAGATATAAATTGTTTAATGAGATAGACGAAGTAATTAGTATGCATGACGTAGATAGTACAATGGCCAGCCGTTTGACGAAGGGACTTTGTCGTCGTGATTAAAGTCTCCCATGATTGCCGCAAACACTACGACCAGGAGTTATACAATGGCTTATAATGAGCACTCATAGATATTAAAATCATTGCCATAAAAAAAAACAAATACATGCATCTAGTGATAAGGATTGATCAGAAAGTACCCATCGGTGATGATAAATGAGGAGGCTGGCGGAGGGACCTATTAGTTTGGCAACCTTCTACGCAGGCATATCAGAATGAGTTTCCAACTCTTTTGTCTCTTTCTGCAGATTTGGAAGTGATGAATAGCGTCAGATATGGACACGTTTCGGTGTATTATACATTACAAATGGACCCTCACTGTCACAGACAAATACAATAACTCGCATTAACTCTTCTCTACTCTATATTATTATAAATATCGTCTCACATTAACCATCATCAACTTGACACAAAAAGAAATGAGCAATCTTGGATCTTACCCTCCGGCGTTTCGCCTCCAAAACAAGGAGCAAAGCCAGAAGTATGATCCGGTTGATGAAGAGGATTCATTAGATCTTATTCCTCTGATAGATCTCCAGTGTATAAACCTGGACAAACTTGGGGAGGCATGTAAAGAATGGGGTCTGTTTCGTTTGGTTAATCATCAAGTTCCTTTGACCCTTATGAACCAACTTCAAGAACAAGCCAAAAAGGTTTTTTCTCTATCGTTTGAATCCAAACAAAGGTTATTCACTAGTCCAGTGTCCTACTTTTGGGGGACTCCTGCTCTTACTCCATCGGGAACTGCCTTATCAAGAGGTCCCAACAATATAAACTGGGTTGAAGGATTCAACGTTCCTCTCAGTCAACTCTCTCAGTTTCAAGCCGATGAAGATCCCATGCTTCATTCTTTCAGGTATAGTTTTATCACTTTGGTTCTTGTCATTTATTGTTTGATTGCTTTTCATTGGGAGTTCTCTTCTTTTTATTATTTTATTATTTTTTGGTCTAAGATTTATATTGGTCTCTGGTGGGGTGGGCAATAACAAAACCTAGATGTGACATACACATATTGATTGGATAGTCTGGATCTTGCTTTTGAACACCAAAGATTTGCATGGTCAGTGTCAAGAACTTTTTAAAGCCACTTCTCAGTTACTCTTTAAACAGAAAAATAATAGAGTTTTGGTGCGATATGAGGTCTGAATTCTGATATTTCCTTTCCTCATCAATATTGAATTCTCCCTACCAACAGCATTTCAGTATTTTGACATGTGCCTTTAATGTCTGGTTTTTATTGCATCGCTGTGAAATTATACTTCGATAATTTCAATCAATCCAATATTGGTCTGGTTCTCTCAATCTCCCTTAAAAATATCAGGAACCAGCTAGAAAATTTGAGCAACTTTTGGAGATTGTAATGGCCAATAAATTAAACTGCAAAGCGACACAGAAGATAAGCCCTCCTTATCATCTCTCTTAAACATGCTTTTTTTATATTATAAGTGGATTATTAATCTTACTGTAATGGATAGTCCGTGGATTCTGACAGACAATCATTCAATCAAAAAGGGGTTACGTCTTTTTCCGGGAAAAAAAAGTCTGCTTTAGCTCTTTTTAACAACAACAACATCACTTTCATTATTAGTAGTGGAATACTAAATCTTGATAAGAACCTCCCAGTTATTCTTCATTATTCATTGCTGCCCTTTTCCGTACCGATTTCCACCATGCATGTTTTACACACCGTCGACAAGTTTTATTTAATTATAATGTTTGCCTGTTTGGTATGTTTTAATTGCTAGACTTTTGTTGGAGGAATACGGGAGGCATATGGGAAGGCTTGCTAAAACACTATTTGAAGCAATGGTGAAGAACCTTAATTTGGATTCTGAAGAATCCAAGTCTAATCTATCAGAATCCACTGGGTATGTGAGAGCTTATCGCTACCCGGGTTTACCTGAAACTGAGGCTCTAGGCATGGAGTTGCATACAGACAGCTCGGTTCTCTCTATACTGAAACAAGACATTGTGGGCGGACTTGAACTGTTCAAAGACGATAAATGGTTCAAAGTTAAACCCATTCCTGGCACAATGATTATAAATCTTGGAGACATGATGCAGGTTAATTACTCCTCATAATAAAGATTTATATATATATGAATTAAGATGCTGATTACAGAGATTAATTTTGTTTGACATTACTTTGTAGGCAATCAGTAACGATGAGTACATGAGCGCGAAGCACAGAGTGAAAACGAAAAAACAGGTGGAGAGATTCTCAATCTGCTACTTTGTATTCCCAGAAGAAGGCAGTGTGATTCGGAGCTCAAACTACAAGCCTTTTACTTACAGTGATTTCCGGGCGCAGGTGCAAGATGACATTAAGACTTTAGGTTATAAAGTTGGGCTGGAAAGGTTCAAAATTCATCAGGATTAATTAGGTGCTTGCTACAGCTTATTATAGAGTGCTCAACAGTCAACATTCAATAATTAATGTTTCTGTGTTTTTGTTGACTCCATTTTCTAGTTAATTAAACTATATGTTATCTTTTTCTTAATTAATTTGTTTTTAAAACAGTGATTTATCATTTTATATATGTTTTTGGTTTGTCAATTGATTAGCTAATTTTACTATTAAATCATTGACATTTTTCTATTACCTCGATTTTCTGAATCTTTGTATTGCAAATAGGAGTTCATCCTTTAAACTCTTATTCCTCGTAAAATAATTTGTCAGCTTCTACTTCTGCAAACAGTTATTAAGCTCTACAAAACCTTGACCTGTTGCCATGGCAATCCTGGATTGAGCTTCTAGACTTTCAGATAGCGTTTGACTAGCCAAAGTCAGCTTGCAGTTCTTTAGAAAGCTAAAATCCTTCACAAATATTTGTGTTCATCAAACCATTTCACGCTTGCAGTGCGTGGAGATGAAGCTTCGGAAGTAGTAGTCTTTTGCAGTACTGGACATTTTGCCCTCCCATGTCCGACCTGTTTACAAGACCAACATAGAATATCTGCTTTCTGAATCTTCTGTTTTTCCTTCTTGGAAGAATTTTCCTGTTTATAAGAGTTAGGTCAGATTTTGTTCCTCTCAAGGCCACCTTGTAATCCTATAGAGAACATTGACATTCCAATAATTAAATTAGAATAATGATAGATTAAAAATAACATTCATTTCTCATAAACTTTTATCACTGACATTAATGTAGTAGTTGACTTGACCAGTGAGAAACTTTTATCACTAACATTAATGTAGTAGTTGACTTGATCAGTTCGTATTTGGTTTGACGGAATCTATTGTTTAGACAAACATGATCTATTGCAAGCTGATCAATTACGAATTGACACGTTATATTTATGAAAAAAAAATTAATGAGAAAGGTTGATGAGTATGATAGTACTATTAAATTAAGCCCATACAAAAAAAAAAAAAAATGATATGCCAATTTAGAGTTGACTATTTTTTTCACCCAAATAATGGTTTAATATCACTTTTCTATCTACAAATTTTAAAAATATTATTTTAATACCTAAATATATATTTCAACAGTGAATAGAAAGTAAACTCGGTCTAGATTAGTGAGGTTTTTGAAGAAAAGAGATGAGTTTTTTAATGATAGAATATTAGATTTTGATATTCGGGAGTGATCCGAATTTAACTTGGTAGGGATAACTGTATTAAATTCAATATTTTTATTCGTAATATAATATCTTCAAAGATCTCCCATGTCAGATGGAATATAATATAATATATTTTAAAATTAATGATATTGATTACTCCTCAACTGATCAGGTTAAGCGTCAACATAAAACTCAATTTGTGCTATGGGGAAACGGTACGGCCAACGATTTAATTGATTATTGAAATAGTATTTTATTTTATTTTTTTTCTCTTCCTTTATAATTTTATTTTTATCAGTTAATTAGCTATTCTATTAATGGCTAAATCAATTAATAAATAAGTTATATAACTAGATCAATATTCCTGTTGCATTAACTCTATTTTTTTTTTTAATATAATTAGAGGTATTCATAAATTATTATAAGTTGATCAATTACAAATTATCACGTCAAGATTTATAAGAAAAAACTTGTAAGATTAAATTATAAACGTAATATTATTCTAAAAATAATAAAAATTATATGAGCGAAGCGTAATAAAACCATTTATAGATAACTTTCCTCCTTCAACAATCTTTCTCATATTCTTATGTGAAATTTCGGATCTTAAATGAATTCCTGAAACCCAAAGGGATTCCTTTCCTTATTCCCGTTCTGTCACTAAACGTTAAGTATCTGTACTTTGTTCGTACAGAATAATCAAGCGCTCAATGCGAAATCCCACCAGTATATATGCCGTCCGATTACTGGTTCTTACCTTTGATACACACCTTCCTAATGTGCACACACCCACAGACAATTCAACTCGTTTCAAAGTAAAATTCGAAATTTGTTTTCTAAACAGAACACAGCCTTTTTCCGTTATGCCCCTGTACGATGTATGAATGTATAAAATAACAGAAATGCCCCTCTTGTCTCCGATTACACCCTTAAATTTTGGTACATTAGTAACATTAGGGGGTTAATTTGTTATCGTTTTAAATTTGACGGGTGTAGTCTTTAAAATGATAAAAACAGGGGGTTTACAGTTATTTACCCTAAAAGAAAACAAAGCCAAATCAGAGCCGTCAGTTGTGGTTCGCTCCAAGTAAACCAACGGTGAGATATCGTGGTGGTGGGAGAGAGAGAGTTTTATGTGTTGCCTGACACAGTTGACGCTCTTACTTGGTGGCAAAGTATTAAGTAGAAGTGTAGATTGCATATAACTGCGAATTCCTCTCAAGTTTCTCTTAGTTTCACGCTCGTTCTGATTCCCATATGTAACAACACATTCCACGCAAACTTGCAAACTCTTTTTTTTCTGGTCTTCAATGGCTGTTGAACCAGCGTTTGGTAATAAACGAAAGCGTATGAAACTGAAGGATGGTGAGAGAGTAGAGGTAACGTAAACGCCTCATCAATGCCGCATCGTTTTGAGTTCTTTATCGTCTACATTATTGTTATTTTTGTGAATCTTTTTGGTTTTTAGTATCTGGGGTTGTTATTTTGTTGTGGGGTTTTTGTGTCTGTTGTGTTTGTTCTCGGCGTTGTTTTGTTTGTGCTTTGTTTTTAATCTTTTTTGTTTTGTCTTCTTTAAAGTTTTTGTTTTTATTTTTATTTTTTTGAGTGTAGGGTTTGGAGTTAAGTGGTTTATGAGTTTGATTTTAGCTACATTGTATTTTTAAATTGGTTGTTTCATTATTATTTTCTATCTATGGATGGTTTATGTTCTGTTTGGCATTCATGCATGGCTTGATTTTGGGTTTCTCTGTTGCTTTTCTTAAAGTGACTTTATTTTTTAATCTGTTATTTTATCATGCTTTCAGAATTTATATTGTTGTTAGTCCAATTGAAATTTTACTATTGCTTATTAAATATTTAAATCAAAATTCAATTTCCTTTTTGTGTGTGTGTATTTTGGTTTTGAGGAAATTTCCTTCAGTTTGGTATTTTTTTTTCTAATTGGGGTTTCAGTTTTGTGTATTAATATGTATGGAATCTGATAGGTGAGGAGTGAAGAACACGGGTTTTTGGGTTCATGGCACTCAGGAGTCGTCACTGTTTGTAGAAAGCTTCTTCGTCATGTAAAATATGATCATCTCCTCACTGATGATGGGTGTGATAATCTTGTAGATTTAGTGCGTGTTTCACCGATTGTTGATGGCACTTGTTGTACCAATGCAAATCAATGTCATAACCGTGGAAACATAAGGCCATTGCCGCCTGCATTTGAGTTTCAGGAACGGAGCCTTCCTTATGGACTCTGTGTGGATGCCTACTACAAGGAGGCTTGGTGGGAAGGTGTGATATTTGATCACAATGATGGTTTCCAGGAGAGGAGGATTTTCTTTCCTGACTTGGGGGATGAGATGGCAATTGGAATTGATTCATTCAGGGTTACTCATGATTGGAATGAAGGTAAAGGGACTTGGCACCGTCGGGGTACCTGGTTGTTTCTTGAGTTGATCGAGGAATATGAGAAAGAGTCATATCTTACGGTTTCAGTGAAACAAATTTGGTATGATTTGCGGGGGAAGAAAGGTTTTAAGAAGGTTAAGGACTGGACCTCTTCTGTGAGATCATTGTGGAAAGAGTTGGTATCAGAGGTGATTGATGATAACTATAAAATTCTTTTAGATAATGTTCAAAGGGTGTTAGGCCATCCATTTTCCTTGGAAAAAGAAACCCAGCGACTATTGGAATTTGTCAGTCCTGTAGGTGATGTTACATTGCATCCAGTAGAACTTGGAAAGTCGCAGGCTATTGTGTCTGGTGAGAAGCAAGGGAACTGTGATGGAGTAAATGTGAATCATAGTAGCACACAACCTGTTCAAGAGAAGTCTGATCAGCTTCAATTAATATCTGTTTCAGAGGATGCTGGGCCAAATTTGAATCTTATGAATGGATCAGATGGATTTAGCCATGATAAATCATTGTCTGTGCTACCCCAGGCTCTGATGGTGTTACCTTCCAATCCAGATAGAAGTTCAGGTAGTAGTGTGATAAACGATAGCAATAATAAAACATTTTCTAGCATCAAGTCCAATAAGATAACAGGGGAGTTTGTAAGTTCTAAGTGCAAGACAAATTGGATTTGGCGATCTGCTGTTCCAGATATAGTTCCTGGAGCTGAGTATTGTCCTACTGTGATTATCGAATATGCACAAACCAATAAAAAAAGTGATAGGAATTCTTTGAAAACAGATGTTAGAAAACATCTCATACATCTTAAATGGAAAATTGAATATGCGAGGGATGAAAATGGAGCCCTCAGACACCGTTATATCTCTCCTGATGGGAAGCGTCACTATTCTCTTAGTCAGGTTTGTTTGGATTTAGCGGAAACCACCATGATGTACCAAGACAACCAACAAAATTTGCATACTACACCTGATGATACACAGTCTTCACCTCCTGAACAGCCAGAAGATTATTGGGATCTTGATTATTGCCCCAAAACTGTGGATTCTTCCTCTTCTAAAATTCACGTTGTCAAACCTAAATGTAACCCTCAAGCTATAGAGGACTGGTATAAGTTTGATAATGGCAGTGACAGTCTTAAAAAGAAGGACTTGATATTAAATGCTAGAAGACATCTAGCCTACCAGGGGTGGGAATTTAAATATGCGACAACAAAAAACCGTACTTTGTATTACCATGCCCCAGGAGGGAAACGTTACTGGTCACTTCGGATGGCCTGCAGAGCTTATTTAAATGGAGCAACAGGTCTTGAGAATAGTGCTCCTACTTGTAGAACCACAGACAATATTATTTCCAGTGAGGAAGCTGAGGACCAATCAACAAATGGGAAATTGTCTTGTGCAGTGAGTAATCCACAGTTTCAGAAAAGTTTGGTGCAATCAAATGCTCTCTCCAAATATTTATGTACTGAGTCTTCTTGTATGTCACAGCCAAGAAAACCGACAAGGAAAAGGAGAACTAGTTCCTCCCAGTTGCTTCAAATACAAGATGACTTCTGTAGTACCAGCCTCCCAAAGTTCAAACGGGGAAAGGCCTCTAGAGCATTGACCACATTAGCAGATGACCTGGAAGATGGTTGCCGAACCTGTGTTCTTCGATCAAGCAAAAGGGTGAAGATGCCAACTTTATCAAACCACAATCCTCGAACTCTGCTCTCTTGGTTGATGGATAACAATGTCATTCTTCCAAGAGCAAAAGTGACTTATCGCACTAGAAAGACACGGCGTCCAAATGCAGAAGGGCGGATAACTCGTGAGGGTATCAGGTGTAATTGTTGTGGGAAGGTTTATACTCTTGGAGGCTTTGAAGTCCATGCAGGCAGTACTCTACGTAGCCCAGCTAGCAATATCTTCTTGGAAGATGATGAAAGGTCATTGTTAGAATGCCTGCTACAAGTTCTAAGGGATGGTAATATAAGAAAGTTTACAGGAGAACAAAGTCATGAGTTGAAAGGAAGTCATCATGAGGGTGAGAATGACTACATATGTTCCATTTGTCACTATGGAGGTGAACTTATATTATGTGATCGATGCCCATCCTCATTCCATAAGCATTGCCTTGGTTTAGAGGTATCTCATTTGCTTAATTCTCTTCATCTTTTATTCCTTTCTGAGCTTTTTACCTTGACATAAGATAGATATATTTGGTTCTTGTGTTTGATTGATTCTTTTTTGGGCTTTCATAGAATGTTCCAGATGGTGACTGGTTCTGCCCATCATGTTGCTGTGGAATTTGTGGCAGCAGCAAATTCAGAGAAGATGCTGGAAATTTTATGGATGAAAATATACTCATTTGTCATCAGTGTGAGCATAAATGTAAGTCACAAATTTTTAATTCTGGATAAGCTCTATGCAAATTTGAAGTACTTCTGATGCAATCTTTGTTTCTGTGACATAGATCACCGAGGTTGCGTACAGAATCCAGTGGCAGCTTACTCAGGAACTCATTCTAAAGGAAAATGGTTTTGCAGCAGGAAGTGTGAAGAGGTATTCTACACTTGTCTTTGCTTCAATTGAGTGATTTATGTATGATTAGTTATTGCTTATTTTTAATAGTTATTGTTCTTCAACTTATTTACTTAATTGTTTTGTACTATAAGTTGTTCCTTTGGAAAACATGACTAACACTTTTACACTTTTTGCAGATATTTTTGGGCCTCTGTCAACTTTTAGGAAAACCAATTCCAATAGGCAATGATCTAACTTGGACGCTGGTGAAGTGCAAAGAATTTGATAATCATGAACTTGATGCTTCAAACATTGAGGCATTGAGCAAGCTCAATATTGCTCTTTGTGTAATGCATGAGTGTTTTGAGCCTGTGAATGAATTTCACACCAATAGAGATCTTGTTGAAGATGTTATATTTTGTAGAAGGTGAGTGATACCTTATCTTCATTAAGTACTGTGCCAATTTGCTTTCCCTTTCTTCTTTATTATTGATACAATATTTTTATGTTTGCTATCAAAAGTACTCTGCCAATTATATTTATGTACTCTGGTCCTTCTGGAGCAAAAATCATCTAATCTTTTGATGATTCTGAAAACACAACAGAAAGCCTACAGAGTGGAATTTCATAAACATGAGGAAGTAATTTTTATTGAATGCACAAGTATTAAACATGTGGTTGTAACTTTTGTTTTTAATGAAGTCAAGTGGTGACCATATGGTTATTAGTTCAAAAGAATTGGTTGATTATTAGGCACTTCTCATCAATCTGTTTTCTTGTGCCATTGTGTTTGAATTGCAGTTGATAATTGAACTATCATACATTGATTCTTCAATACATCATAACTGTTGTTAGTTGAGCCTTTTACCTAATGGAAATAAAGAATCATAATGTAAAGTCCAGTCTTAATGCTCTGAAAAATTTCAGGTCTGAGCTTAACCGTTTGAACTTCCAAGGGTTCTACACAGTTCTTTTGGAGAAAAATGAGGAGCTGGTTACTGTAGCTACTATAAGGTAAGCTTCATAGAAAGTTTAATTTGAAGATCATAAGCTGTACAGAATTACATGTTTTAACAGGTTTCTTAACCTTTGTGCTATGGTCAATAATGTTCGTCTAAAATTTCATTTTCCTGTTCAAGGGTCTATGGAGAAAAGGCCGCAGAAGTACCTCTTGTTGGTACTAGGTTCCAGCATCGTCGACTTGGAATGTGTCGTATTTTGATGAATGAGCTTGAAAAGGTAGATTCATCTTGCTCTGTGTATTCAGGAATTTTATTGTTTCTTTTATGGAAAGTGCTTTATTGCTGACATTATTGAAACCCAACATGAGTTTTGAGTATTTGTCCTCTTATCTCAAGCTGGGGCCAATTAAGTATTTGAACAATAATTTAGTGATAGTTGTAGAATCTGTATTCATATGAACCCCCAGAACTTTTTAATTTATTTGTATTCTATGTTATTGATAAAAATCCACTCCAATAACTCAACAATTGGGCTAAGTCATGGGTCTTTCATGGGCTTGGGAAGAACTCTCCTTGGAAAGCCTACTTGCCAAGGGAGGGTGTCCAAGCCCTTTATAACCCTCATAGCCACCCTTTTTCCTTTTAATATAAGATCCTAACATTTCACCACACTTCCGCAACTAACGTTCACGTCGGCATCTTTACCCCCGTTGGCCTCTTTGTCCCTTGGGTGACTACATGGATCTCTTTTTCCTCGGGCCTCCATGCCCTTTCTCAAGGTAGTAACCCAAGCCTAAGGTTAGTCTGCCAAACATGCGCTGCTACGTAGGCGCAGGATCATGCTCGAATACCAATTAATAGGAACCCACTCCAATAACTCAAAAATTGGGATAGGTCATGAATCTTTTATGGACTTGGGTAGAACTCTCGGAAAATCGGCTTGCCAAGGGAGGGCCCAAGCCCTTTATAACTCACATGCCCACTTTTTTTCCTTCTAATGTGGGATCCTAACAGTTACCATATTCTTATTTGGAAGTTGGCCCATGTGATTAAATATGATTTGTTTAATGTTTAATCGTTCATAAATGATAAACTGACATGGAAATAGCAGTCCAGAGGTTGATTTTAGCTGCCATTCCTGTTGTGCAATTGTTCAGAAATGAAACAGACATATATTCATTTTATCTGCTTTAATAGACGAGGTACATTTGTGAAATCCTGACTGTTACTTTTATCCAATTTTCTTCAGAAACTCATGGAATTAGGAGTCCAGAGGTTGATTTTACCCGCCATTCCTAGTGTGCTAAACACATGGACAACATCATTTGGTTTTACAAAGATGTCAAATTCTGAAAGACTACAATTTGTCGATTACACTTTCTTGGATTTCCAAGATACTGTTATGTGCCAAAAACTTTTATTGAAGAGCACGTCAGCTGAAGTGAAGCTATCAAGAGGTATGTATGTTTCAGTTGCCTTATCTGAAGGGAATTTTTTTTGTCACCATCCAACCTCACGAACTTTGTCTAACTTAGCAATGTACAGGATCTCAACCTGAAATTCAAAGTGGTGATGATGTTGATCATGCTGGGTACAGTCCTGTTTCTGAAGTGTTTCAAGCAGAACAAATTGAAGATAGCGGGATTGTGGAACAAAGACTGGTGGAGTATGTTTCATCTCACTTTAATTAGATAATGGAATATCTGAAGTAAAATTAATTAATTAATTAATTAACATAAGTGCTTTCTGCTTAGAAATTTTATGTTAATGATAATTGTGATTTTTTTGCAGTGTTGCAGTAGAAAACGGCAATAGTGGTAGTGAAGGCTGGAATCTTCTTGTCACAATGGTACTTGAAATGCCTTGAGTCCCCCCACCACACTTTTCTCTAGGTTTTTTTCTGCTACTAGATTTTGACATGTTTTTTGACCTCAGGTGAAACAGCCGACACATCTAGAATGCGAATCACAACATACACACATGAGTCCACAGTGTTCAGTTGTGGATGCCAATTTTAAGCAAGAAACCTGGAATAGAGGTGATGGCATTAGCGGCTATAAGCGGAGGAAGATGGCAGCAAGCTAAAAAGAATGATAAATTCATCATCGACTGCCGCTGTGAAAATAAGGAAAGTGGGCAAACATGAACATAGAAAGAAAAGATTATTCTGACTTAGTTGTTTAGGCTGGGCGCAGGACCTCAAATTGTTGCTTGACAGAAAGTTTCTCAAAGTCAGATCACGTTGCTTATGTATAGTTTTTTGTGATGTGATCCAAGTACATACACAAGTGATCATTGAGTTTCCTAATTTTGTGTAGAGATGCATGCTCAGAGTTGAAATGTAGAAGTTGCAGGAGTATTTTTGTTGTTTATCAAGAGCCTTTTGTCACGACCAGCCTGCTTGCCCAAGCATACTGCACGTTGCTTACTGATTAAGTATACTTCAGGGTGAAGCATACTTAAGAGCTAGGTTAACTTAGGAGCTAAGTTAACAACTCAGCAGCTAGGTTCGACGACTAAGCACCTTCGTTTCCAAGGTTGCTCCAATGCTCGCCACCCACGAGCTTCGTTTCCAAGGCTGCACCAATGCTTGACACCCAGGGTTTTCATAATGCTGAAGCATGTAGCTTAGTTCATATTAATTTGAGGAGCTTGAGCCTATAAATAGGCAACTCCACCATGTAAAGTTCATAACTTGAAATTCCATCAATATAGAGTTTATATTTTCTCTACAGTTCTCTCTCCTTATATACTTTTTAGCCTGTGAGTTTGTGTGAGCGTTAGGCTGCTTAACTCATTTCCGACGAGTTAAGGCCGCACGAACTTAGCAAAGAAGTTAAGTGCGTGACAAGTGGTATCAGAGCCTCGGTTAGCATAACCTCGGTTTTTATTCAATGGCAAAAGATACTGTTGCTTCCAAAGGAACCAAGACGGCAGAGATGGAGGCTTCCCAAGAACGTGGTCGTCCGGAGAAAGTCGACCCCAACCCCAACCTCTCAAGGCAGAAAGGTAAGTCCAAAGATTTTCTTTCCAGTTTTGACTCACGTCTATCTCGTGTAGAAGAAAGGGTGAGCACGCAGTTGGAGGACCTGGATCATCGAGTGGATGATCTAGAGACGGAGGTTATCGAAACCCACACTGTCGTGAAAGCCATGCTGCTTCAAACGGAAGAGTCACTAAGGACTAAAATGGGGAGAATCCGTGAGGAGTTCGTAGGGGAGCTTGCCAAAACCTGTCATGTGTTCCAAACCGAAATCAACAGCACGCTCGTTCGTTTAGACGAGGTGCAGGCTGATTTAGCACGATGCAAGCGTGGCATGGTTGCAAGGACCGACAGCAACGTTATTGAAAGCCAAAGGATTGACGTCCCAAGGCTTAAAAGTTTTAGTGGCTCACGCAAGGCACAAGAGGTTGACAACTTCCTGTGGGGACTAGACAAGTACTTCGTGGCTGTAGGCGTCACGAAGGAAAGCTCGAGGATTGAAACTGCAGTCCTCTATCTCACAGACACCGCAAGGTTGTGGTGGAGAAGAAGAGAAGGAGACATCGAAAAAGGTATTTGCACTATCTCTACTTTTGATGATTTTAAAAGAGAGCTTAAACGGCAGTTTTACCCGGAGAATGCCGAGGATGAGGCAAGAGCTCGTTGGCGACGGATCAGGCAAACAGGGACGATCCATGATTATATCAAAGACTTCATTGACTTGATACTGGAGATCCCGAAAATGTCCGACAAGGACTCGCTCTTCAATTTCATGGATGGGTTGCAATCATGGGTGAAAACAGAGCTAAGGCATCGGGCAGTGCAAGATCTTGCCACGGCCATAGCAGTTGCTGAAAGTTTGATTGACTATAGCACCCAAAGAGAATCCACCAGCAAATCCAAAGATAAGAAGGGCGGCTTTGTTAAAGGTGCGGGAGACAGAAGGCAATCTAAAGAAAGCAACCGAGACACCCGCCAAGACTACTCCTCATCCAAAGGTAAGGACAAGGGCAAATGTTGGGACAAGGGCTCCAACAAACCCCGCAACAATTGCTTTATTTGCAATGGGCCTCATTGGGTGAAAGACTATCCGGAGAAGAAAGCTCTTACTTCCCTCATAGCCAAGCATCAGGAGGGCAAGCCAGTCAAAAGCAGTAGTGATGGGGCACATATGGGATCAATGCAACAACAACTCAATGGAATCCAGTCCGCACCAAAAACCCAAGCCAAAGGGTTGCTCTATGTTGATATGGCCATCAATGGGAAGGCCACCAAAGCCATGGTAGATACGGGTGCTTCACATAACTTCATTTCAGTAAGTAAAGCACGTCGGCTAGACATCAAGGCTTAAGGAGGTGGAGGCACCATCAAGGCAGTCAACTCAGTGGCACAACCGATACAGGGAGTGGCTCGGCATGTCAAAACCACAATGGGAACTTGTTTCGGCTACTTAGATTTCTCGGTGGCACAGATGGATGACTACCAAGTTGTTCTTGGCTTAGAATTCATGGAACAAGTCAGGGCATTTCCCTTGCCGTCAACCAACACCATGTGTATCATGGACGGGGAGCAAGCTTGTGTGTTGCCCACTAGCCGCTCTACCAAGCCGGAGACAACGACACTCTCGGCTATGCAGTTCAAGAAAGGCATCAAGAAGAAAGAGGAAAGCTACTTGGCCATCCTTAAGCAATATGACGACGAGGAGCCAATCCCACCAGAGGCAGTGCCCCGGGAGGTAGCACAAGTAGTCGAGTAGTTTATTGATGTCTCACCAAACGAGCTGCCAAAGGAACTACCACCTAAAAGGGAGGTAGACCATCAGATTGAGCTGGAACCAGGCGCCAAGCCACCTGCCAAGGGTCCTTACTGTATGGCACCATCGGAGCTTGCGGAACTAAGGAGGCAGTTACGGGAACTACTAGATGCAGGGTTCATCAAGCCCTTCAAAGCTCCCTATGGCGCACCAGTTCTGTTTCAAAGGAAGAAGGATGGTTCCTTGCGCATGTGCATAGACTACCGAGCACTGAATAAGGTATCTGTTAAAAATAGCTATCCTATTCCTTTGATTGCCGATCTTTTCGATCAGTTGAGGCATGCCCGCTACTTCACCAAACTGGATCTACGATCAGGTTACTATCAAGTGCGCATAGCCGAAGGCGACGAGCCAAAGACCACCTGTGTTATAAGGTATGAGTCTTACGAATTTTTGGTTATGCCATTTGGTCTAACAAATGCATCAGCCACTTTTTGCACTTTGATGAATAAGATATTCCATCCGTACCTCGCCCGGTTCATGGTCGTCTATCTAGACGACATAGTGATGTATAGCCAAACCTGGGAAGAGCATATGCGACACCTCAGGGAAGTGTTCCAAGTCTTGCGGGACAACAAGTTGTATATCAAGAAAGAGAAATGCTATTTCGCCAAGCCGAAGGTAATGTTCTTGGGTCACAAGATCAAGGATGGGCAGCTTATGATGGAGGATAACAAAGTGCATGCCATTCAAGAATGGGAAACACCCACCAAAGTGTCGAAGTTACGATCCTTCCTTGGATTAGTAAACTACTATCGTCGGTTTATCAAAGACCCTAGTTAGTAAATACGGGTACGGCAAAAAAAGGGTACGGGAATTATACGGGTATAATACGGTAAACGATAAAAAATACATTTATAAAAATTCGGTCATAAAATTCGGATACGAAAAAAATACGGTACGGGTATATACGGGTTTAATACGGTGTATTGTTAATAATACGTTTTGAAAAATACGGCAATATCAATCTTAGTTTTAACACTTTTATGGACTACCTGGTTAAAATCAACATAACATTTCAAATGCAAAGTATTCAATTAACCAATAACACAAATACACAATATATAACTGATATTCAAATTATAGTCTCCAGACTCAAACACAATATTTAGCCAAGATTCAACTATAGTGTCAAATTAAACACATAAGTCATAACAGAATTGGGTTATGAGATGTGATAATTTTAACGCTACTGATGAGTGATGAGCCCTCTTCTGTTTTTCAGGCCTTGGGATAAGAGGGTTAAAATTAATCTAGTACTATAATCAAACTATTTTGAAGTATATTTATTTATTGGTTATAATTGGATTATATAGTATATTTATTTATTTGAATATAAGAAATAATTTTTATTTTACAATTAAATAATAGAGAGTCACATATTTTAATAGGCTGAATGACATTTTCTCAACCCAAAGTTTGGCGAATCTACATTTTCCCACCCATTATTAAAATTCTTACGTTAGTTTTAATGGTTAAAAGACATTCTTGTCAGTCTAGTCTGCACAAATTTTATTATAAAGTTAATATTACTTACCGCCCTAAAATACAAATAGATGGTAATTACCTTCATTAACTTGGAAATTAGTCACTTAAACTCCTATCTTCAATTTCTATTAAAAATTATATTTTTATTAAAAATCAGGTTATTAAATAAAAGAAAAGTTAAGTTTTATAAAAATAAAATAAAATAAAATGTATAAATTAATAAATAACCATTTTTAATAATTAAGAAAAAAAATCAAATTTAAAAATAAAAATATAAAAAATAAAATAAAATTGCCCCAGCCCTTTTATCCTTCTCCCACACCCTACCGCCACAAAGTCAAAATCCTCCAACCCCAATATTTCCCCCAGCCCGTTTTATCCTTCTCCCACACCCCACCGCCACAAAATCCTCCACCCCCAATATTCTTTCAGGCTTTCAAACTTAACAGTACTATTTGTTCCCTTGCTTGCTCTTCGCTTTGCCGCTCAAAAAGACAAAGATTTCAGTCTAAACTAAAGGGGTTACGCACCTTCCCTCATCCCCAAAATCTAACAACCCTTGCGCCCCACCTTCATCATCTTTCAAAACCACTACGAACTCTAGCAGGGCCACCTCCTCTAATTTCTTTTCTTCTTTCTCTTCATTCTTGTTTTCCCTCTCTCACTATTAGTTTAATGTTTTCATGGATTTGTTCATTTTCAAAGTGAATTTGATGGTTGTTTGGGGCGCACTGCTGACTGTCGAAGAACTAAAGAAGGAGGACTGAACCAGATCTATTTTTATTTTTTGTATAAACTCAC